AATGATTTTTCTTCAACACAAGTAACAGAGGTCGACAGGTTCGTTAACCTGCTGCCTGAGGGCAAAAGGAGGCCCCTGTTTCCATGTAACAGGTGTGCTGGCCCTCAGAACCATCATAAAAGAAAATCTCATGACTTGAAATGAGACAGAGGAAGGGGATGGGTGCTATATAGCTATAGTTGCTATTCTTCTGCCTGATTTGAAAGGACGCTTGTTGCAGCAATAGCATGCAAATGCAGTTCTGATTAAAGTAATGGTGAGTTGTTCCACATTTTTTTAGGAGGGAGGGCAGCCTGCACCATTAGGCTTCAACAGATTTGTTTCTCAATTATCCACCTCTCAGTTTTATTTAGCCTTTATGTCAAGGCTGAGTGGGGACAGGGGAGAAGTAAAAGAGTCATAGGTAGAGTAGGCACTTTTGAACGCAGGTATATGTTTCCAATCAGGAGATTGCGATCACAACGTGTAGCCCAGACCAAATGGGCCGTAACTCAATCACCGAGGGAGGTCTTCAGGCTTGCAGTGTACATTGGTTCAAGATCATTACTCCTCTCTCAGTAACAAAGGGGTCTGAGAACAGCAAACGGATGCAAACATTAGAGAACATCAGTGTTGATGAGCGCACAGTCATGGGATGGCAAATGTTAATGCAAAAGTGGGGGAAATCCTGAGCTGGCTGACTTGAATAGGAAAAAAGTGGCTACAGAATGCATTGTTCTATTGTATAGGAGTTGTTTTCATTCACTGTAAGATGTGAGAACAACCTGACTATAAGGTTAGTATTCCATTTTAAACACAAGCGCTATAAAAAAAACAGGCACAAAAAAACATTTGTGAACCTTTCCAAATCCACTAAAATAATTTCACTTTCTAGTGATGCCACCAGTCAGACAAACAGACAACAGATGTAGCCACAGACCAAAACTAACAAACACATTTCATATCCTATAATTTGCACATGGAAAGACTGATAGACAGGAAGGCAGACACATTCACACACACCCGTCCAACTGGTACAACCAGCCCCAGAGGGAAAATGTCTATCTTGGCATCACACTGGCATCAGTGCCAGCATCATGCTGGCATCAAGTTGTGCCCATCCCTCTATGACAGAGGACACGCCTAGTTACACCCGTGGGCTTCATAGCACAGCTGTTGCCTATTGGCTGCGCCTCACTGCATAAAAACTTTTCTCTTTAGCCCCCTATTGCTTCCAATACTCTAACATTCCCTTATGGAAACATAAACATCCAAGAATTGTCATCAATCAACGTACCTAGAATTACAGGAAAAAAAGGGGGCTGGCATGGAAAAATCATCAAAATCACACAGCCCAGACCAGGAGTAAAAAAAAAAAAAATGTAAAAAATGCAGAAATAAACCCAGCACTGAACAGATGCTGATAAGGTGTAGAGCCGAGAAAGCAGGTGTATGTTTTCTATTGGCACAGATTGACTGAAGCCACAACATGGTCATATCAAAAGATTCCACCAAACTCGTTCATCTGATACCACAGACACAGGTCACAGTGGAAGACACAATTACGCAGTCACACACACACGCATACTTTTCTTATGAACACCGAGGGTGATCTAATCAGTTTATCTCTCTTGCTTACAGACAAAACACACACACACTGAGCGCCAGGAGTGTGCCTACCTTATCTTCTAGCCTGATCAGACGTGCTCCAATCGTTGGGTATTCTTTATCTTCCCCTTTTCCTGGAAAATGAAAAATAACAAAATCTAACATATATATACACACATGTATATATATATATATAAGAATTTACTACTGAATTTCTTGGTGGTAATCCCAAGGACACAAAATCAGATGCAGAAACGTGTGTTTTTCCAAACTTAGCTCAAAAACACATTACAAACATAACATTATATTTTACAGTAAGAGCCCATGATTCTTAGTAAAACCATCCATTCGTTCATTTTCTGCCGCTTTTGTTGGTACAGTCCCCTACTGTAATGTATACAGTAAATACATATCAGAAAGAGTTATGTAACCTTAAAAACATGATTAACTTGAGCTTAAGTAAGTTTACACTCCACTGCATATATATCACTGGATCTGCATAAGCAACACAGTATTTTCTCGTGTAAAACCTCTACAATGGTGATTTCACAGATGTGCATGATGTGTGAACATAACCATTCATTCATACTGTTTGTGTATATGTTTGTATGAATGTATGTAGCATAGCCTCAGAGAGTATGCAAAATTTGAAAGTACAGGGTTGCGGACCTGTTTTCTTACTTCAGTCCCTTGTCCAACTGGCCAACTGGTTTACCATGTTAGTGGCCAGGGTCAGCCAAAATATGTTTATTAAGCACCTGGGAACTGGACCAAAGGAAAAAGAGGGGGAGGAAAGGAAGACGCGGGGGGCCGGGTGTCGATTGTGTCAAGAATGTTTAGACTATGAATGATATGTAAACACAGTGAAGTACTCTTTATATTGAAATCATCAAATAACAAATTAATTTCCTTGTAACTGAAGGATCCTGATAATGTGGACTGATAATCAGACTGAATTGCTATTTTTAACTTTCACTTTATTAATTCAGCAAAACATCATGTTCATTGTTGGTTGGTTTTGTTTTGCCCTGACCAATCAGTAGAGTGACATATTCATCCAGCCAACATAATTTTCAGTTGACACAAAAGCAGTAGTAGCAATTCCCAGAAGCAGTTACCGGCACATTTTATACAGTGATCAAAGATATGTGTTACTTTAAAGTTGTTATATTTGTAACTTGACTGGCACAGGTGATTCACTGGCATTGATTTCAGTTTAGGGTGAGGGGTTGTCATCATTTTTCTGTTGCTATTTTTCATGAATGTAGTCAGGTAGCTTGCTAGCTATGTCAGTGATTAAGGATGTGGGACCAGACTATTGAAAATGTCAATTTCACTCGAATTTTACTTTTTCATTTGTAGCGTATGACAAGACCCATATTATGTTTGGTGATGCTATGTTTTCTTCATAATTAATGAATACTTAATTACCTATATGCTTAACTTGGATATTACATGACCACAACTATTAGAGAACACAATACAAAAACAATATTAATGATTTAAATATATTAAGTAGGATTCTGTAGATTTTAAAGATTAAGATTTATTGTTAATTTATTACTTTATTTTAGCAATAAATGAATTACATCCATACACACACACTGACATGCAAACACACATAAGCCTGCTAATGCATTTATAAATGCACAGTGAAACAAGCAGTGTCAACAAACTCTCATAGTCCCAAATATGAAAACATACATGTAAATATCCCACATCCAAACAGAGACATGCACATACATCGGGGACCTCTCTTTCTCTCATATTTAGTCTGGCATTGTTTTGTGTACGAGTGAGCCATAAACACAGAGAGGAGTGAGGAGTGATGGCCGTCTATCAGATGTGGACTGTTGTGTTTACTGTGTATTTACCTGGAAGAAACATTCCTGGCTTCCCCAGTGTGCCGTCCAGCCTGGTGAAGAGACAGAAGTAATTAGACTGAGAAACGTAAAAACACTGGCCAGACGTGGAAGAGATTCAGTTGAGTAAACAGCACTTCATTCCAGCTCATGAACCAAACAGTAAAATAATATAAGCCAATTTATAGAGCAAATAAAATTAAACAAATGGTGTCAGCTGGAACATTATTTATATATCACTGTTTTGGGGAAAACAAACAAATAAATGCAAGTTTTGAAATAAATAAATAAATAATAATAAATATATGCTATGTTCTCATTGAAATGTCAAGCTTTGAAAATAAACAAGCCTTGCTTATATGAACTCTGAACTATAGTCATCTGTATAGATCTATAGATCTAATGAAACATGGGAAGCAGTTCAATACGCTCTTCTTTTCAAAACTTCAAGTTAAGGGCAGTTTTATCACAAGCAATCACATGTCTTTAATGATCTTATACTTTAGTCAGTGACCCATCTGATACGAAGCAGTCCTTGCATTATTGAGTCAGATGTGGCCAGTGCTGTCATGTCTTTTTCTTTGGATTTTCTGTTGAAAGCTACGTTTTGGTATTAGTCTTCTTAGGATAGCAAATAGTAATAATAATAAATGAAATATTTAAAGAGTATTTTCTTGATTTACTGATACATTATGATGCCCCGCTGGTTTCAAAATTTCACGGTGCGTTACCATGACTCAGCTGAATTACTGCAAAAGGTGTTACAAGGTCCAGATGACGCACTTACATGACCCAATTTATTACCTAACCGACCGCTGTGATGTTGGGAGAGAGAGAAAAAAAAGGCAGAAAATTTGCAGGAAGAGGACAAAAGGTTTTACTTTAGTGAGGACTGGACTTCATTACAGCTCAACAAAGCATAACAAGGTGTAACAAATCAGAGGCCAGTGAGGCTCCTATCTGTCAGATGAACAGTAAGAACAGTAACAAACTGTACTGCAGGAGAACGATCCAACTGACAGAAACTGTTAGGAGTTTAGTGAAAGCTGAATATGGAAATTTATAATGGAGGCATCTCTCTTTCTGTTGTCTTCATGACCCAGTTCAGTTCAGTACAGTTCAGTTGCAGGGAAACACAAATGTTCATTGTATAATTTGGCACTTCACAGCTAAAGTGTGCCATACTGTGCCAATAGAAAAAATGGTATAAGACAATATGGGGTGAGATTTTAGTTGACCTTGTTCTAAAATGAGATTATATGTTTTCTTTTCTTTCTTCTTGTTGTGACTATGAGGTGGTATCCAACATAATGGTTCCAAGAATGTGAAAAATCAACTGATGTAAATTTAGAGACAGAAAGTCCCAAAAAAGAGCAAGAAACAAGGTCAAAGATGTCACCTTCTCTGAAGCTCCTTGATGCGGACCATCATGTTGAGGTGACCCTGGGAATACTGCTCGATCACGTCTCGCACGTCATAGGGCTTCCGCGCTTGCTGTAGATCAATGCACACAAAAACACACACACACACCCAGAGGGACACAAAAGCCATTGTCAACCATAGCCGCTATGGCTTGGTCCCCGAAAACATCCCCAACCCCCTTGGGTGCAAAGGGTTCATTGTTAACTTATTGTGTGTGTGTGTGTGTGTGTGTGTGTGTGTGTGTGTATGTGTGACAAGTGCATGGTCATGTAGAAAGCAAGCATGTTAAGGTCCTTTCACAGCTTTGTTTAGTGTGACGTGGATACAAGCAGCATCAGAAACAACCCAGTGAACTCTTTGGGGTATCCTTGGTATATGCAGAGTATAGCCTCTGCAGCTGAGATCACTTAGGCTATAATTGAAAACATGTACAACACTTGGAAATGGTAAGAATATAGGAACCATTCTACAATAACATGTAGCATGAAAATGATGGCCAAAGTATTTCAAACATGATTATGTTGTTTTTTTTCCTGAAATATTTATTGCACAAAATTTTTCTAACATAATTCTGCTGACTTTAGTGCTACGTGAGGCCATTTCCTGTTGTGTGTGTGTGTGTGTGTGTGTGTGTGTGTGTGTTTGTGTAAGCGTATTCATGCAAGTGTGTGTTTTTTTATGAGTGCAGTACAGTAAGTGAATTCCTACTGTAGCCCCAGAGACAGGTTAGTAGATTTCCCATGATACTACGCCTGGACTGAAGTGAGCACAAAGAAGACATGCAGGTGCAGGTTTCAGGCATTTACACACAAACACACACGTACAGACACATACACATGCGCATGTGCAGAGCAGCAGCTGATAAATGCCCTTGGGGCTCCCTGTCCTCATCCTGTATAACTGCACACACAACACGCTTCTCTCACTCTCTCTCTCAATCTGTCTCTCTTTTTTATCTCTGTATCTCCCCCTTCTTTGCTCTCCTTAACTCTGTAAAATTTCTCTCCTTCTTTGGATTTCCTTTTTGCTTACCTGAAATTTCTTCCTGGCCACAAAGTACTGCATTCTGCGGAGGACTTTTACAGCTGATCTCTGGGCATGGGACAACCTGTGACAAAAAGGGAGACTGATTTAGTCTAAGAGAAAGAATTATGGAGAAGTCTACAGATGTTTCCTTGCTGTAAAATGTGAAGTGGCTTGTTTTGGAGAAGAAAAAAAACAGAAGAAAGGGTGCAGTGTGATTGGCTCTTGCTGCCTTCAAGGATCAACAATGTGTGTACCATGCCACAGCAAAACACATTTGGCCTTGACAGAAGAACACACACGCTGATGAGTATGCATTGACGTACACAAAAATACACCTATGGCTGTATGTGTCAGCACAGATTAACCCATGATGTGATCAGTGCTTGCCTTATCAGCCACAACTATGAATCCACAACATGGTGCAAGTGTAAGAAGAAAACCAGACTCAGTTTGCATTAGGAGGAGTCCCAAAAGACACGTCCCTGAGCTCAAAGCAGCACATCTGTGTCAACACAAGGGAAAACCCACTGGTATGGAGCTAACACTGAAACAGAAACCACTGGATGCAAACAACACACACACAACCTCATACATGCATACCATAGTGACTGTATGGCATGCACTTGTGTTTGTTATTTCAAGGAGGCACTGGTGCTTATGTGATTCATTTGTCCGAAAAAGCTGAAACATGTCCTTGGATATTCCATGTGTGACAGCTGCATGTTTGGATGATGCGTGCTATGGGTGAAAATGGAGGAGAAAACACAGACTGAAAATTTGTTGAGTGACTGGATTTCAGTGGTCCAAATGATTGAAAACACACAAATACTGTGTGTGCATGCACATGTGGACACATCCCCCCCATGCAGACCCCAGCAGTTAAAGAGTTGTCAAATCATCATGTGAACTTGAGAAAGACATAGTGTTGTATTATATTGTCAAGGGTGTGGAGGAAGCTATATACTAATGATGCTATACTTAAATATTTATCATATAAGTATTTATTACATACCAATGTATGATTTTTAGAAATGCTTTGTAATCCTATCTGCATGTCAAATGGCCCCACTTTTTGTTACCACCCCAAAGTTGAGAAGCTCTGACTTGAGGGGTGTACAAGGAGCATAAAAACACACGCTGCCCCTTTATTTCCATTGATACCGCACAGTTTATCATTAGGTTTTACTGCAGAAATGAATTATGAATGCTGACATATTTTTTTTATGTAATTAATTATTTCGAACATCTCTATTGAAAAAGTTTAAAGCCTCAAATGCAAAAATGTAAATAAGTCCAACCCAATGTGGTTAGGAAGACGGCTTTCCAAGTGTGTGGAAAGTTGAGAAGGTCAGAGGTGCATGAATCAGTGCTAAGAGGGGTTGTGGTCAAATACATCAGCCCTCCCTTTAATACTGCTAGGCACTAGTCCACTATGTAAGAGTGTCAATGTCTTAGTTAAAGGACCCTTCTGCTTATTGGTGCACTTTACAGACTTGATTCTTACACAAAGAGAGATAAAGCGCAAAGGATGCAGTTTTCTGAATTACTTTAGGGACCAATGTGTAGGACGTTGTGGCATATAGTCGTGAAGTTGCAGATTGCAACTAACTGAACACCACTCGCGTCTGTATTTGACAACTTGGGAATGAGAACGGGCTGGGAAATGTGTAGGAGAAACTACGTTGGCCACAAAACTCAAATGTGAAAAGCCTGATTTGTCCGTTCTGGCCTACTGTAGAAACATGGTGGTTGATCACGGCGAACACTTTTCAGGTGATTAATTAAAACATAACTATAAATATAATATTCCATTTTTGTCAGTAGATCCTCCTAAATGTTACACACTGGACCTTTAAAAGCATTTCTTCAAATGAAAATAATAAAAACAGCTCAGGTGTGCTGGGTGAGCGGGACTTGCTTCTATTTCATGTAAAGTGTGTCTCAGAGACAGGTGACCTTTCAGCCATCTGTCGGTATCAGAGACATTAAAGTTAAGCTGGTAAGCTGTGGGACGGTGTGTGTGTGTGTGTGTGTGTGCGTGTGTGCCAGCAGTGTATCTGCTGAGAAGGTGGATTAACAGCAAACTGACGTCACCAGATTCTTGCTGGAGAGATTCAAAGGAAGATGGCAGAAACAAATGAGGGAATGGAAAACAATCAGGTGCAACTCCAAATGTGCAAGTAAGAGAAAATTATAATGGTTGGGATTGAATTCCCACTTCTAAACACCGGTCTGTACACTACTTATGTACTGTATGTAATGACAATGCATCAGACAGCCATCTAACAAAAAATTAATGACTATTCTTATGTCAGAGTCTATGCTTTTGTATGTAGGGGGTAATGTGTGTGTCTGTACACTGTTTTGAACATTTCTCTCCAACTACGTCCCTATCAAAGCAGACACACCCAAATGCACACACAAGCATACACCCTCGACACACAAAAACGCACACACCACCCTCCCCCTCCCCAAACAGGGGTCTCTGTGCAGTCAACAAGTTGCTCTGAGGTCTTAATTAGGCAGAGGGACAACAAAAGGACAAAACAGACAATGCATTGACATGGGACCATAAAACATGAACATCAAAGGCTGTCGGGCTGCTGTCTTTTTCCTGCCCTCCATGTGAGGACTGCCCAAGCTATAGGAGGAAATGCACACAAACAATACCAAACATAAAGAGCATGGGGCCCTATTTTTGAAAAAAAAAAAAAAGTGCACCCCCCACCTCCTTGCTCTCCATCGTCAGAGGGTACAAGGATGTGTTTTTTTTCCCGCCTTTTTTCTGTGACTCAAAGGTTTGAGCATAATTGGGAAAGAAAACACATGTAGGAAACAAAAAACATGTGCGGTTTTGATCGTCGTACAACTGTACCCTGCTCCCTTGTTGCCCTCCTCCCGCTTCCTGCGTTTGACACAAATGCGGACACATGTTCATTGGTTAAGTGTAATAAAAGAATAACACCGAGGGTTTTTGTCCAACACCAATCTCCCCCTCCCCCCCTCCACTCCATTAAACATTTGGCACACAGAAACTGAAGGAATGTAATTCCAACATCTCTCTGCTGATGCTGCCCTTCAAACACTTGCTGGCTCTGACTCTGCTTCCTACTCATCTCCTTCTGCCCCCCCCCCCCCTTTTGTGTTTATTTTTCATCTGTGCAGAAGATTTGACACACAGTGTATCCTGGGGATTCCTCTTGAGTAAGCAAAGCTCAGATCTCACCCACGACGACTTCAATATATTTTCCATTGTCCTGCGCTGTATGATTCATTCTCTATTGGGAAGGCTGGTTGTGTGGTTTTTTTTTTATGGATTAAACCCTAACTCTTAGCTCTTCTCAACAGCCTCTCTATTCTTCATTAGGTCAACCGTAGAAGTCATGTACAAGCTGTAATTGGTGGAGTCATGAACTGGCCTTGTCCCTCTCTTGAAAAGCTGTGACAGATTTAGCCCCATGGCCTCCCCTGGACCTTTCTCTCTTAATAAGTTTTCTCTTTTTTCATTTTCAGATGGTCACTTTGGAGATCTCAGAGTTGTCAATGGCAACTCTCCCTCATCCCCCCACCCCCTTGGCTCTTTCTTTGGCAGGGGACCGTCAAATATCCTGTGCTTCCATGGTGTGCTGCAATAACCTCGGAGTCTGTCAGGAGAAAGCAGCCTTAGACATCAATGTGCTACGGTCAGGGCCCAGCAAGACTGCTGGCCAGTGTGTGTGTGTGCATCTGTGTGTGTGTGTGTGTGTGCGTGAGATAAGCTTTATGACTGGTGCTTTGGTCCATCAAAGAGATGGGCTCTTCTTCTGTTCTCCTCAAAAACAGACATCCTTTTATCATATCTTGGAAGGATAAGATGACTACATTCTTTCAGGAATGTTTGATCTAAAAGTGACGGCATGCCAGAGGGTGCCGTGGTAAGAATTATAAGGATGCATTTCTAAGACACTATTTCGAAAACAGCCAAGTTTCTCCATTCAGTGAGGCTTTTAAATGAATGGGCTTCAATGCAAGAAATGCTCCCATGCGGATTCTCCTATAAGATTTTGTCTAGTGGGAAATTAAAACAGCTCTGAGAGGGATGTGCATGCAAGAAGAAGAATGTTTACGCAGTCTCCACACCACTGTTTTCAGCTTGATTTCGTAAAGATGTCCGTTTCAACAAAAACAAAAGCTAAATGTCGTCTTTTTTGAACTTCCATAAAGCAACTCACAATTTATTTGTTCTCATTTACATATGTTATCTGTTGTTAGTCAACTGAATAAGATAGTTATGGTGCTTGTTATTACTGTGTGTCTATCTGACTTTCTTTTTTTCTCAAACTTGACACATTCAGATTTTTTTTTTTATTGAATTTATGTGACATACATTTTTATTTCTGTTTTAATTTTGCTTTTGTATTTGTTTACTTTTGCATCAATTTCCCTATTTATTTACTTTCCCATTAAATTGTCCATTTAATTTATTAATTTATTTTTTAAATTATTAAGTTCTGTATGTATTTATTTCTGTGTTATTTTTCATTTTGGCAGTTTTCGGTCTTCCATACATGTGTCTGCTCCAGCTGTTTTCATGTCCCCACCAGATCAATAGACACTGATCAAGACATGCTGGAGACAAAAGCAGAAACCAAGCCACATCAAAGCACCATGCCCATTAAGAGCTGATGACAAATAGAGAATAGAGAGAACAAGCCATGTTTGATGTGTGTGGCACAGAGAGAGAGGCCTGAGACACTATAGGTTTGCTAACCTCCTGCATTTCTATCACAACCACGCTGTGAAACTACTGTATAGTGTGACGGAAGGGCTCTTTTGTGTATACACATGCAGGAATGTATAAAGCAAATGCAGATAAATTTTTATCTCTTTTTTAATCTCTCTCACACACAGTGGAGCTTGACTTTAACAAACTGCTGAAAGAAAACAAAACCTTGGTCAATTAGCCAATGATGATGTGGTGATACATACTTGGGATTTCAATCACTTTAAACACTATGTTGCTTGTGCAAAATATCCCTATATAATCTGATCTCACACTGTCACCATATACCCCTAAAGGTACGTGTGAATGAAACTCTACCG